TTAGTTTCTGATGAGAAGTTGGTTGTGAATGAGTGAATGTGACATGTAGTGTAAAGTGCTTTGAGAGGTTGTAAGACTAGAAAGGCGTGATAAGTGCACTCTATTTATTTACATAATTACTTTTACTAGAAGATTTTAGCTGAATTTCTGGCTGGCCTTTAGGAATTGTTGCTTTAAAATGAACACAAAACATGACTCTGTAAATCTTTGACCATATAAATTACAGGTATTATAGCCATAATTAAACATTAGAGATGAAAATCTGCATTACAGGTTGTTTTTTGGAGTGGTTAAAGGCAGTTTTTCACAAGGGGTCACGTGACAAATCAAACGGCTGAGGAGATGATAAACAGGAAAGGAAAGCACATTATATTACACCAAATTAACTGTTTAGAGACTTTCCTTTAATGTTATTTATTTTCTTGTGAGATTTTGAACATTATTGGATGTAAAAAATGATTGGAAAAATATTGGAATATATTTTGGATATGAGGTCATGCCACTATATTTTTCTTATTCAATTTTATTCATTATTTTCATTAATTACATTCAAGCTAGATTTTAGTTATTTTATATTATTGTTATTTTAATCCCGGATTGTACCTTTACCTATATGCAGTGTGCTAGTTGCTCCAAAATGTAATAAATTACCCATTACTCTTTAAAAAGTGATATGATTACTTTACTTATTACTCCTTACCAACAATAATAAGTTACAGTACTAGTTATATTAATTTTTTGCTGAAAAATTCCCCACAAAAATGGTAATTGTGTCCCATTCTCCCCAAAATTCAGACTTACAACAATTAAAATCTAGTTTTGTTTGTTAAAATTAAAAGTAATGGAACATTTCCAGCTGCTGAATGTTTCCTCCATAAATACAAAAATTAACCCAAGGATGTAATTAGATTGTTGGATTTCAAATCAGTAGTGGGTGACAACAAAAGTAGTATTGTGACTCATTTTTTATTTGGAGGAGTAACTGTAATATTATTACTGAAATGTATTAGTAATTAGTTACACTACTAGTTAATGAGGAAATAAATATTATTGCTAGTAATGAGTTACTGCCCAACACTGATCCATACAGTATTACAGCTAAATAGACTCACTGGATCCTTTACTTTGTGGCTGCAGTTGGTCAACAACCTTAACTTTTTAGCAGCCTGCAGTTGAATGCCTGAATCTTTCATTTTATCTGATGGGATATTAATAATCACCTCACTGGTAGGTTTTTTTAAGATATTGACCTTTTCGCCTTTTCAGTTTAGGTATCTTACAAAACCAAGGCAATTATTAATACCTGGAAACAGCAACCTTTGCCTTACTTCCCTGATTGTTAGCATTGCACGTCTATAACATGCAATACGATCCGATACAGCCTCACATGAGAATCACCATTCTCAAATTTGGTTGGATGACACAATGCTCCTTAGTCTCATCAACAAAAATATACATTGGTAAGTCTGACCCACCACATCACTCAGCTGATCAGGACGACACAGCAGAGGCTGCACTTGAGAAGGCTGAAGAAATTTAGGTTACCATCAACACTCTACTGGTGTAGAATTTCTACTGGTGCACAATTGAGACCATTCTTACTAGCAGCAGCATGAAAGCAGCCTGAAAACGCCTGCAGAGAGTGATCAAGTCATCCCAGCACATCACAGGAACGGCCCTCACACATAAAGAGATGTACTACAACTAGGAATGTACTAGGATCAACAATTACTATGAATTAAACCAAACATTGTGTAAGTTATTAATGACCCAACACACTGGAATGTTTGGGGAATATTTTACTGAGAAAACAATGAGCTCACAAATACATGCAAAAGAAGGAATTCCTGTTCTTCTAGCAGACAAAAAACACAAGAATAAAGAATAATGATAATAAAGTCTAGTCATTTTTGGCCCACATGAATTCAAAGGCTAACCATGACTATTCTGTCTGTCAGCAATATGAGCTCAGGGTTTTTCCACAATATTGTTTGGTTTAAGGGTCATATTAGTGCACTGAAACAATGGCTCCTCAAAATTTGCTCGCATTTGTCAACTCATGCTTTGATTTTTATCGGCCATTAAGACTGAGACTGAGCCAGATTTTCTTGGAATGGTGTTTGTTTTTCATCGCTTAGTCATCAGGCTTATCCAAAGTTCACTGTTTATACAGCCTTGTGTATTCTGTGATGAATAGCAATAGTGAATAATCCATGGGCATTCTCTTCAAAATCTGCATTAATTAGCATTGCTTAAATCATAGTCGTATTTGACATCTGTGCTTTTTCCTGAATCTTGTTCTCTCTGCCAGGTCACTCCATGTGGACACTCGTCCTCATATTCCCTCTCTGACCAGCAGCTATGTCCATGGCACCTCCTCCATCTCTCTGCTCCCCCTGACTGTGAGCCAGTGCCTGGACTCCACAGTCGAGCGCTGGCCTGACCGTGAAGCTGTGGTCTTCCTGCAAGATGGCATCCGGAAAACCTTTGCGCAGTTTCAGCAAGATGTGCGTTTTCAGGAGACTTCATGCATGTATCAAGCCCTATCACTATTTATGTTACACAACTCAGCCTCCTATTTCAATGATAAAGACTCAGAGACAGTTTGTCACTGCTAATTGTAACTTGTTTGTACCTTTTATTTCAGTGTTAACTTTAGGTCAATAAAATAAAATAGTTGTTTGACACAAGGCCTCTTTAAAACTAGTAGTCTGGTTTGATCACCAAGCCTCTGTAAATCACAGAAATAATTAAATTGTATGCAAAGTTAGAAAGCTACATTGTAAAATGCCAGAATTTACTTAACTGGTGGTGAAGAGTTATCTAACATTTGTGTGACATTCATTGGTGCAGGTTGACAAGGTGGCTGCAGGTCTGCTTGCTTTGGGAATGAATCGGGGTGACAGACTGGGAGTTTGGGGACCCAACACATATGAGTGGATCCTTTTCCAGTTTGCTTCAGCTAAGGCTGGAATTATACTGGTCAGTTTGAGAGTTGTGTATACAGTCCTTTTTTGTCCTGTGCTAACAAACACCCTGCTGTCAAGTGTCAGTGAGCAGGACTTTAAACCCTTTCGGGAGCCCTGGGAAGCTATTCAGTAGTTGTACCATTACACTGTATGCCTAATAGGTCATCAGGTATTAATTTCTATATACAGCACGATGTAATATGATATACAGTAATGTAGGACAGAGTATATGTGTATGACTGATAAGAGGTTCTATAAATAGACTTGACTTTAAACTGTTCCTATCCTTGCAGGTGTCATTGAACCCAGCCTATCAGGCGAAGGAAGTGCACTTTACTCTAAAGAAGGTACAACGAGTTCTGTTACATGACATTTTCATTAGCATAAACTCACTTACTGTGCTACTACACAAAAGCATGACAACTGACAGTGGACATTTTAGTATTTGCATTGTACAAATAATCCTTAATATAATATAAATCCAGCAGAACTGATTTTTCATATGCAGGTTCAGTGTAAAGCTGTGGTCTGCCCTACCCGCTTTAAAACACAAAATTTCTGTGACATGCTAAAGGAGATCTGCCCAGAGATCGACACATCACCAGTAGGCATGATCAAAAGCTCCAGGTTTGAAATAGCCAATGTCAAATATAATACATGTTCGTACTCTATTGTCATCATGGGAGTAAGAGACTGTAAATGCTTCACAACAGACACAATTGATAATGCATTGTTTGGTGGATGTAATATAAAGATCCATTCTTGGGTCTGCCAGGTTGCCGGACTTGCGTATGGTGATTGTAACAGATAGCAGACAACCAGGGATGCTCCACGTAGAGGATGTGATGCAAGCAGGGGAGAGTCGGCACCACACAGAGCTCATGGATCTGCAGAACAAGCTGTCCTTCGATGATGCCATAAACATTCAGTTCACATCAGTAACGCACCTTTCACACTGGCACACATTCTTCACTTGGACTGACATTATGATGTAACATAGATCTAAGAACGAAATCAAGTCATCTTGTTTTATTTGTTTCAGGGGACTACAGGGAGTCCAAAGGGAGCTACTCTTTCCCACCACAATATTGTAAATAATGCCTACTTTGCGGGTCTCCGAGTGGGTTATGGATGGAGAGTAAGTTCCCATTCGTATCTTGATTTGACAAAAGCAAACAGTGTGAATCTAAATAATCTTATTTTCCATATTCCCATCAGCCTCAGGTGCGAATATGCGTACCTGTACCCATGTACCACTGCTTTGGCTCTGTGCTGGGAGGGATGAATATGGCAGTGCACGGTGTCACACTGGTCTTTCCTGCCACTGTCTACAACAGCCAAGCCAACCTAGAGGCCATTCAGAATGAAAAGTATGGCACACTGCTCATCACTCTTTCAAATACAACATTATGCACTTTCATTGATTTCTACTATTGTTTTGTTTTTTCACTCAAGGTGCAACGTCGTCTATGGCACTCCCACAATGTTCACTGACATGCTCGGTCAACAAAATTTACAAAAGTTTGATTTCTCGTTACTTGAAGCTGGTAAGAAATGATTTGAAAACTAAAATATGATATGGAATTTGGTGTGATGCTTAGCAAGTATTTGAGGCATCCTCGTCTGCGTGCTGCTGTGTTTTAGGTCTCATGGGAGGTTCTCCGTGCCCTCCTGAGATTGTGAGAAAAATGATAACAGACATGAACATGAAAGAGATAATGGTGAGCGGTTAAATGTCCCATAGCTTTTCAAATAATTCTGTATCAAAAGAGTATAGCTTCTCCAACATGTGTACATTATGTTTTAACAGTTAATTTATGGAACCACTGAGAATAGCCCAATTACATTCATGGGATTCCCAAAAGACAACGAGGAGCTGAAGCTAAATACTGTTGGCTGTATCATGAACCACACTGAGGTATGCATGCTGTAGTTTTTCCACAAACCTTTATCTACATATAACTACAACAACACTCATGCCCGTGAGTCTTTACTATAGGCTAAAGTGGTGGACCCTAATACTGGGGAGATTGTCCCTCTGGGGACCCCAGGAGAGCTGTTGATCAGGGGCAGCTGTGTGATGCACGGATACTGGGACGATCCCGAGAAAACCAGTCAGGCTATCTGCGAAGCCCGCTGGTACCGAACTGGGTAAGACACTACAATCAGGGGCGTGTCGAAACTTTTTTGGACTCGGGTGGCACAAGTGGTGCAATTCCATTACTGTTATGGGGACCCCAGTATGCAGAAATATTCAAATACACTAGCTGAAAATAACCATTCATACCACATGAAAAACTGAATGCAACATTAAGTGGGCATGTCTGAGACTTGTGGGTACACATAGAACCCACTATTTATCTTTTAGCTTTAAAAAGGCCACCCAAGGCCCCCCATCTGGACACACACCTGACTACAATGTCTACTGAATGTTTGTCTTAAGGAGAAAATACAAAAGTGTGTTTGAAATATTGTATACATGTGAGGTTTTCTTCTACACAGTGACACGGCCAGTCTGAACAGTCTGGGATACTGCCGCATTGAAGGGCGCATGAAGGACATGATCATCCGAGGAGGGGAGAACATCTACCCAGCTGAGATAGAGCAATTTCTCTACACACATCCCAAAGTACAGGAGGTGCAGGTATGACTCAGAACCACTGGAGGGCAGCAAAGATCAAAAAGATTATCTCCAAACAGTTGACAGCAAAGAGTCACATTGAGGCCATACTTCTTGCTTCAGTAATAGACGTTATTGTAAATGTAAACAAAATGTATTTCATGAGAACATAAATCATGTAATACTAATGAGCCGAGTTGTTAAATCTACATTCTAGTTGTTCTGTTTCTCTGTTTGTTTCCCAGGTGGTTGGAGTGAAAGATGAGAGGCTGGGCGAGCAGGTGTGTGCCTGCATCAGACTGAAGGAAGGCCAGACCTCCAGCGCAGAGGAGATAAGAGCATTCTGCAAAGGCCAGGTGAGAGTAGGTGATAAATAAAATTGCCAGAAGCTCAACATGCTCAAAATCAGAGCACAGCTGTACAGTTTGTGGACTGGCATTTGTTTCTTCCCTCCACTAGATTTCTCACTTCAAGATCCCACACTATGTGTTCTTTGTAGACAGCTACCCTCTGACAGCCTCTGGAAAGGTACGATTCTTCTGCTCTTACACCAACATACCTGAACTATCAAGATGGCAACGATGATTTAGTGCCGATTAATATAATGAGACTGAAATGGCTGCCACTTTCTGTTTTTCTAGATAAAGAAGAACGTATTACAAGAGAGAATGGAGAAGAAATTAGGTCTTTAAATGTGTGGACCCTGATGGACTGAGTGCACCTGCTGGGAAAGCAGAGCTGAACTTGGACAACATAACTAGATCGGCTGCTGGATTTTCAATACTTCAAATTCATCAAGTTTTACTTGAGATGCACCACACCGTCATTCCACTCCTCACTACTTTGCTTTTCTGTTTATATAAAAGTTTAGATCATCTCTTTGAGCTTGAAGTTTGATTATTGACTGTGGAAATAGTAATTTAATCTTATCATGAGGTCTATTTACTGGAAATATTACACTTTAAACATTGTATTATAGTAATGACATGGGAGGACTACTGAACTCCACTTATGACACAAGATGTGACTGAAAGCTTTGGAAAATGGTGCCGTATGATCAAACATTATCATCTTTTATAACAGTATTTGACCCACACTACACAAGATATTTGTCATCTCAATCTTTATTTACTTAAACAATTTTGACAAACAATCTGATATCATAATACAATGGCTTTAACCATTCATTATCTGAACATGCCATACAGAATCTGAAATAAATAGGACCTTAATGCCAAATGTCAGTATGTACAAATGTGGTAGGCAAAATTACCATCCTTACAAGCTATATACACCGACTGTAGAACACACTTTAGTAACAGGCTCATCTAGAATGGTGTCGAAAATAACATCTCATATTATCAAATAACAATGAATACGAAAGGCTTTGACTTAAGATGGTGACACAAAGCTCTACGAAAGGGAGAAATATATGGGCAAAATGTATTTAAAACAAAATTCTGGGGTGTAAAATGAATGCATTGCCAATGTCCAACCTGCCAAAAATCCAAAAGTCAAGTCAAATTAACTTTAAGTTCACACAATAACAGATAAAATGAGGAAATGTGCTGCATGACACAAAGGCCACAATGAACCATGAAGTCACATACACCAGCCAAAGTCTCAAAAAAAGATCCTCGAGTCACTATTGTTTTGCTTTGAGCGTCCTTCTGTGTGAGTTTTAAATAGCCAAATTCGCCTCATCATATTACGAATCCACCATGAGAATGAGGTAAGCCTGTCACAAAATAAAAAAAAAAAAATCTATACGTAAAAAAAGGCAAAACTGTTCCCTCGAAATGTCAATGGATGTCCACAGAGAAAAAAAAACACTCGACTTCAGCAAAACCTGTGAGGAGGAGCAGTTTAAGTTTAAGTGCGGGTTTAACCCAGAGGACAGAACCAGCTGATATTTCCAAGCTCTAACGTGGAGACTACTTCCAAACGGATTACAGCAAGTAGCCAGCGGCAAGAGGAACGACTGCACTATGGCTACATGGCTTTGAACGATCAACATTCACTTCAGTCATGAATATGGGGTCCCACAACACCTCTCCAACCCCACATCACATATGCACACATGCAAAAAAATAGCAAATAAGAAACATTGCATTTTAAAGCATACTGTGAGATAAATTAGTTAGTATGAACATATCCCTTTTTAAATATATAATACATTCTAAATTGAAAATAGTAATTGTGCAATTTAAGTGAAAACACAGGAGGAAAAGGAAGAAGCTGTGGTCTGTTCAGGACCTTTTGTCAGGGATAGTAGATTTTTAAGATGAACAGAAACTAAGAATATAACGGTGCCACTTCAGAGTTGACATCTAGAGAGCAACGCATTTGCAGTGACATTCATACGAGCACAGTACAGTAGAGCTTTAGGCACAGGCCAGTGTGTGGTAGGAACGTATGCACACGACTGTGCACCTACTCACAGATGCATTTAGAGCTCCGAACATTGTATAGTAAAGCCTCCTCTTCCACACGTCACGTTCAAAAATGCACAATCCCGAACACACGCATCACTCTTCCTTTCAAACACTCTCTCTTTCTCAAACACACACACACATACACACTTAGCACACAATGTAATGGTCTTTCAAGTGTCCTCTCTGTTTTTTTGTGTTGGGTGGATAGGAGATTCAGTGGAGGTTAATGTGGTATAGGGACGCCTCACACACTCAGAGGCAGCATGCCTGGTGGAGACACGGCTCTGGATGTTGCAATGGAGGTCAAGGAGCTGGGGTCCAATCCATTAACAGTCCTGCAGTTGTCACATCGACATGCACAGCATTAGCGAACACGGTACAAATGAAATGAACAGTAAGACAACAAGCGAGGGGAGGAACTTGCTAAATAACTCACGTTTTGTCGAAGTAAGTGGTATGAAGGGAGTGAGAGAACTTGGTGGCGTTGCTGTTGATGAGTGTGCCGTTGTCTTTGGAGTAATTTTTTCTTGCTGCCTGGTCTTTGGCAAAGTTCCTACAGGCGGCGAGTTTTGACTCCAGAGCCTAGACACAAAACAAGGAAATACAAGCCTTTAGCCTCATCATAAAAAAAAATAACTCTCTGTTTGTCCTGTGGCTGAGGACACACTGTTCCTCAGTGTTCTGCCACCTATTCAGAATCTAAAAGCACTCTTTTTTTTTTACTTTGTCAGCCCTATAATGCGTAGAGAACATTCTTTCCATGCAAAACAAATGTAAATATGTATTAAATACAAGGGGAACAATACCTACCCCAACTTTCCTCAGGAGATCACCGACAATATTAAGAGCTGAGATTCTAGCAGAGGGAGTGAGGGACGAGTTGCCATTGGTCAATCCTGCACGGGGACACAAGCCAATATTAGAACACAAATCAGAGAATTTTCCATTTTGCATGTGCAATAAAGAGTGAGATGAATGAATCCTCACCTTTTGGGCTGATGAAGGGGTGCTCTATGCTCTTTCCAACAGGTGTGGCTGGGAGGGATAAAGACGCCTGCACTGCAGAATCCATTTTGTCGATGTCTAAGGTGGGTGAGCTGGGTGCTGACATCCTGTCTGTAGTCCGCTCCCGTACTGCCAGCTCTTGTCTCAGGTCTGCAGAAGAGATTCAGATTCATGAAATACTCCTCCGCTAACCCTTACACAGGTGACATATTGGCAGCAAAAGGAGCAGAAAGGATTCTTCGGTGTTTTGTCTTTTTACCTCGTGCCTCATCTTTCAGCCGCTGCACGGATACTAGAAGAGACTCCTTCTCGTCCAGCTCACTTTCCAGGAAGGCATTTCTCTCTATGGCCTGGTTTAAACGGCCTTCAAAATCCTCAAGAGACACTATCGTCGCCCTGCAAATAGAGGTTGAGGGGCACAGCTGTTAAAACCTTTGATGAACATTACAGTAGGTCCAATTAGAACAAAATCTAAAATACTTTAAGAATTCATCATCTCCTCAGCACCCC